TTAATAAAAATATATTATAAATAAAAAAACAGAAATTTATTAAAGGGATATTTGAAAAAAAATATTTTAGAAATATAAAAAAAAAAGTACAATAGGGATCCAACAAAATTTAGTTGAAGCAGTTTTTAAATTAGTATTGATTAATATCAGCAATTAAATTCACGGTCATAAAACACTTTAATGCGTATTTTAACAAATTTAAAAAAATATATATTTACCGAAAATTACATAATTTTTATTTAGAAGTCCAATTATTCATAGAGGTAATGTCACCAGAACCTTTTTATTTTTTTAAATCACATTTCAAGAAGATATTTCAATATAAAATGAAATCTAAAAATATCAAAATATACAGTTATATAACAACTGTAATTTTTTTAAGTATTTCCCTTTATTACTGGGATTAAGAGTAATTTTTCAAAATTATGATACTGATAGCTTCAACTGGATACATTTTGTTACAGTTTTAAAGCTGTAGTAGCTAAAAGTATACCTAAACATATTAAATGATATTCTCAAATTCTTTTCACTGAATCCTAATAAAAATAAACATAAGAAATCGATTTCCCAATTATTTATCCTAAATATATTCCTAACGATAAAGAATTTTAAAAGCACTTACCGTTTTCAATTGATGTACTGAGAAGTGACTTGACATTATTGAAAAATAAATCATACTGCAATGCAGTATGCAGAAGAGAATTCTTGGAATTATCCATTGCAATCGTGTTCAATTGACGAGCCAACAAATAAAAACTATAAAGAAATTAAAATTAAACTGAAATATAACTGAACGTAAGACTCAGTGTTGCATGAACTGAAGACTAATAATTCAGTTTGACCAACCATTATATCAATAAGCCATCAATTATAGATGTGTTACCAACAACATTTTTATTACAAATCAATAGTACCTTATTTTAAAAAAATACCTTCAGAATAATTTAGTAGATAAATTTACTAATTATAATCTGCAATTTATTTTAGTAGCATTCACTTATGTTATAGCTATTTTGAAGTAGCAGTTATTTTTTGAATAAATGATAAAACTTTTAAGTTTTATAACTAAAGTTATAAAAGAAGTTTTATGAAACTACTATACTAGTTAATACATTAACTAATATAGTAGTTTAATGTGTTACTGAGGAGCTAATAGTTTTAATGTGCGGTGTTATTTTTATATTTTGTGTCGTAAAATCATCAAATATTTTCCTTTCAATATTTGATAATTAAGGTCTGGATTTTTATGCAAGAAATATTAGATTAGATGTATATAAAAATAAAACTATGCGATAAAAACAAAATTTACTATGGCTTAAAAAATAAACAAAATATGATTCTACAACGTAAAAGTAACAATTCACTTTTGCTTAGATATTGAGTAAACTATTACCTATAGTTTAGTTATAATAATGCATAAAAACAAAACCCTAGTCCAACCATATTATGGTGCTGCCGAAAAGAGTTTTTCTATAAAAATATGATGTATATAGGATTTTCTATACTATGGAGCTTAATGCTAAATATATGCATTTTGCTTAATACACGTAAAACAGTACTTATGACAAAATACCTAAGATGAGATTATGGTGAGAAAAAACTTTAGTATAAAAGGCAGAATTCATTGTTAATCCTTTTTATCCGCTTAGTCTCATTGTGGTCTCTATTTCTTCAATATAGTTATGGAAAAAACTGTATTATTTCGAATAACTATTTTTAAAACATTTATACGTAAACATTATGTATCTATTATTCTATTCTGTGTATCTACAGCGAAAAAAAATGTCGCTGACATCACTAACCGTGTACAGTAGCTGCACGTAGTTTGACAGAGCCAGGTGCTTTTTAATTATTGATGGTTGGTGCTTAAAATATTCAGTTTAACGTTCATATATTTAATTTATATAGAATAATAATGTATGATTTTACTGGTGCTGCACAAGGTAAGTTTTTCAATTTTGTTAATATTCTCATATAAAGTTTTCTTAAAATAATTAATATTTTATTTAACTTTTTTTTTTATACATTTTAAAAGTATTAAACAGACTAACATCAATATTTAATGCGTTTGATAAGTTAATGCTAATATTAACAGGTTTCTTTTTTAAATTACGTATTACACTTAGATATTGTACTATAATATTTATTCATTTTTCTAGTATAATATTATGTCAAAATTAAATTTTTTGTGCGTCAAGCAAAATTTTTGTGACAATACATGTCGTACGTAATACTTATATTTTTTTTATTCTGAGAAATTTTGACCGCGTCGGTCGTTTAAACGTAGTGTCAATAACAGTGCAGTAAAACAAAAAAGTCGCGTATGCAATTGACGGCCACTGTCGATTATATCGAGATGTTGTTTTAGAGCGTTTGGTTTTACTGGAAAAGCGTGGAAATTTTCACGAGTTATCGCAATTTTATGCGTACCAGTGAAACTTGGTAAAATCTCAGCTGTTCGTTGATTAAATATAATTTAAAATCGGAGACCACTTACCATATTCCTCAATCAGAAATACCATCCATAAACCAGGCCTTCAAGACCGTATTTGATATCATGCTCGTTGAGAACGCGTGCTCAGATTATATAGATACAACAGCGTTTTTACGCTGTTATATAGATGGTCTCATGTTCAGCGTATGCATGCATATGCCCCTTCCCGACTCATCGTCTTTACCGATTCCCCTAGAAATTTATCCTAAAAAAGCGATCATTAATTCACAAAACAAAAGAGGACAAGTATTGTTTTAAAGTGTGCCATTTTGGCTATACATGGTAAGCCAAGAAACAAACCTCACGTCAATCAAAACACTATTTTAATGATGAACACAGGTATGATTTGATGGCATTAAAGTTCNAGTTCTCTACACCTGTGACTCATATTCAAATATTCAAGCGACGCAACATTGAAGTGTCTATTAATGTATACGGCTTGGAACATAATGATATCGAGTCAATTTAGTTTAATATCAAAGTTAAATTCTGCATACCTATAAGTGTGCAAAATCTAGTAAATGCGAAGAATATGCAATTTGTTTAATGAATTTTAAGTATTTAGGATCAGTTGTGCGAAAGATATTGACGAGGATGTAAGACACAGATAAAAATAATGTCAACCATTCTTATCTTCTACGAATAACCATTGTAATTTCAGTGCATTTAATAATAAATATAGTACTTTTAAAAATACACATAGATTGTGTCTATACTTTATTATTTTTAAATTCTTAAATTTAACTAAACCAATAAATAATTGATCCAACGTAAAATTATAGTCTTTTTAAGAAATATTATTACAACTAGTGGTGGGAATTTTCGTTCCTTTAGTGTAAAGGATTTTAAATATTACAAAAACACAACTAACTTAAAAAATAAGTACTTAAAAATTATATTATTTATAACCTTACAATAGGGTTTTCAGAAACTCTCATATAATAATAAAATAATTCCATATTAAGGAATTATTTATTTTTATCTTTTTAAATTTATTCTAGAGCATCTTAATTGGGAGGATATTTTATATTTCAATAAATTGTATTTTAAAGTTTAAATGTAAAGTCAACGTTTGAACTGGGTTTGATGGTATATATATATATTGTATATAAATTTGTAAAATATTATTAATATTTTATTTTAAATGCATAAATAGGTGTATTTTAAAGTAGTAAATTAGGTACTTAATTAAAATTTAAAAAAATAATAATTGAATGATTAAAAAAAAAAAATAAACACATCTTATGCATATTTCTTTACTTATACCTATTTGAAAAATTTGGTTTTAAGTTATAAATTTATTAATGTAATCGAAACGTACTCAAAATCATTGAACATAATCGATTATTTTATCCAACGAATAAACGATATTAATTTCGAGTAAAATTTCAAGAGATTTTCTCCATAGACAAGTATACTCAATCGATTCTCTCAATTACTAATAATTCGATTATGCCCATCACTAATTTAAAATATGTGAATGGATACCATTAGCAGTTTTAAAATTGGTGGTCTAGTAACTTTTTTTTTAAGATAATTAAAAAATCAAGAGATAGCGCTAGTTTTCCAACACTGTAAGAAGTGGGCGGCCTAGTCAACAGTTTGCCAAATAGACAGTTACTGTAGATCGTAGTTACACAATCCCGAACAAGTAAGAACTATTCAAGTACTCTTTGTTCATTACTATAATCATTTGGAGATCAAGAATATTTTTTATCGACGGAGTGATAGTGTAATACCAAATGTAATCGGTCCTATTCGTTCCACCAATATTCTCGTTACTTTGGACCGATTATACGAGTACCACCGACCCATCATTAATTACAACCATTTTTATATACAAAATTTAATGAATATACAACCAACCATTTAGTAAATATATTGCAATAACCGTAAACGACTAAAATAAATTTTGGAAATTTATTATATTTTATTATTTTTTTCACAGTATAATTGATATATGAGATATTTTATAAATATCTTTTTTAAAGGCAATAATAATCTCTATAACTAAGGTTCTATATATTTTTACGTTAAGTAATGCAAGTGTAATACTTATCGAGTTTAAACTCAAAAAAGAAAAAAACTATCCTTAATGATCATATTTCAGCCCCAATGTGGCACCAGAAGAGATTGAGTAAAACCTTCCAAATTTTGCCTACATTACTTTTTTATACGACTGAACTAATCTAGAGAGAGTACATTATAAAAAATATAACTGTCTATATAAATAAGAACCACCCTACTCTATATATTGTTGATATTAGAGATTTATTGCGATCGAAGGATTAATAGGATTTAAATATGTAAAATCTATCATGGAAAATATTTAAAATTTAAAAATATATGAGTTCTTGGAGTGCATTGACAGTTACCACGGCACTGATGGTATTTTACTTATAGTTATATATATACGCTACCCCTTAATTTTATTTTAATGCTCATAAAAATGAGCTTTCTAAAATTTGGGACTGATCCGTTAAGGTTAACCTGTTGGAACCTGGAACTCTTTAGTTGAGTTTATAGGGCAAATTTAATAGAAATAACTGATCTATGTCTTATAACTTTTTTGTTGTTTAACTTAGAATTATGAAAGTAAAACTCTCAAAAAGAAATTTTTTAAAATATTCAAAAATAATAACTTCAATATTGTTTTTTTAAATAGTAGCTCAAAAATCACTAAATTTATACATATATATATATACAGAGTGATCAAAATCTGGTAAGACACTAATTTTCTCAGAAAATATTGAGAATTTCAAATTTTATTATAGAGAAAAAATATCAAGTTCAAAATATTCTACAATAATATGTAGTCAAACCATTATTTTTTTCGTCCCTTCAAGGATAAAAACCCTTATTTATAATTTTCTTAAATGGGAACCCTTATTTTGAACTTTATAATATGATAGTAAAAAAAATTGCAAACAATTTTGTTCTTATAATTTTTATTATCCGATTAACCGTTCGTTCGTTACAGCTTGTTAAAGTTAAGTGATTTTAGACCAAATTTCTATTGTCATTTTATTGTATTAAATACAGAAGTCATATTTTTATTTGCTGTTGCATAAACCAAATTTTATTGATCAAGTTATGACAGGTAAATTAGCTATAAAAATTTACTACGCACTAAATGAGTGATAACAATAATGAATTCAAATCGGGTGTTCGGTGTATTATTAATAGCTAAGTCTATGGTTTTGTAAGACTAAAGGATTTAACAAAAATACCAGTTGCACTGCCACTGATATTATGAAACGTAATAAATGACAATAATTTTTCTGGAAGTCAAAATCTTTAAACAATTATAAAACATAAACGGTTATTCGGATAAAAAAAATTATAAGAACAAAATTGTTTGTAATTTTTTTTTCTATCAGATTATCAAATCAAAAATAATGGTTCCCATTTAAAAAAATTATAAATAAACATCTTATCCCTGAAGNTATCAAATCAAAAATAATGGTTCCCATTTAAAAAAATTATAAATAAACATCTTATCCCTGAAGGGATAAAAAAAAAATTTATTTAACTTCATATTATTGTAGAGTTTTATAAAATTAATAATTTTTCTTTTTACAAAAATTTTAAATTCTCTATAGTTTCTGAGAAAATAAGTGTCTTACCATATTTCGATCACTCTTTATATATATACATATATATATATATATAGGAAAGTATTTAAAATACATTATAATTGATTTTGTCTATTTTTTTATATTTATATTTATTTTATTCTTCAAAAAATAATTATTCATAAAGAAAAAAATTTGGAAGTTATTTTTTTATGCCAAATGCGATAATTATATCGTATTAGTTTTTTATATCATGACTAGTTAATTAGTTTCGATTTTCAAAGTAAATTTTAAGACATCATAAATCAATAAAAATATCAATGAATGTTATGAGCCAAATAATTATAATGATAATTGGTATGAAACTATTAAAAAATTCTGGCTTATTTTGTATGTATTGTTTTTATTTTATTGTAAATAAATTCAGTTATCATGAAGTTTATCAATTATAATATAATTGCACTAATATTTTAGCCAATGAAATTAAAACAATTCTTATATTAAAAATTTATTATACTTTTGTGCTGTAGTATAATTTATTATAACATATAAATAGCTATAATTTTTTATGAAAAATTAAAAATATCTTATTCGTAATGGATTGAGATAGAAATATGATTTACAAGCATATAAAAATTTAATCTTTTTAAATAAATTAAATTTTCGCCTTGTTGATCTGATAGTACATTACCTAGTTTTTTACAAATATAATATATTTTTGAAGTCCTTTCTCCTAGGTAGGGGTTTTTCCCATCAATTTTAACGTATATACGCCTAAAAATGATAATCAAGACAAATAATAAAGAGTGTATCAAAAAGGACGCTATTTTTGTATTTTTTGTTGGTAGCATTGATTCTGCTATTTTTGTTATCTGTTATCATGGAGATATTATGTTTGAAGAGCGATTTGTGGTTCATAGTAGTGGTGAGAATTTTCGTTCCGTTAGTGTAATCGTTCCTTTCGGTACAGTTACTTAAGAGTAACGATTCCAAAGTACTCGGTACACCGGTACTTTTACTTTTTTGTAATTGAGAACCTTCATTGCGACCTGTTATCAACACCAAACCAGAATTTATTGATCATGTAAACAGTCTTATAGCGTGACGTTAATACGTATAGTACCAATAAATACGTCTATGCCATTTACTCATCGAGTAATATTTTAAGAGGCACCAATGCTTTTAGGAAAATATTTAGATAAGAATTTTTTTATATAACAGTTTTCTTATACAGAAATATTGATAGACATAATATTAGATTTTAATGAAAAAAATAGATGCCGTACCACAAAATAAATAAATAACCGTATTTTTTAGATATGTATAGAATAATATACAGTGGCGGTTCATAGGTACTGGTGGTGGGGGTGCGACTTAAATATAATATAATATTTAAATAAATGATGTTGAATCTCCATTGTAAGAAAAAGTTATAGTACAGTATGAAAACTTAGCTTTTTCATTACTTATAACCGAATAATGATTCCTTACTACACTTGTCTTTTTTTCCATTGCATTTATAAAATATAATTAAATAGTAAACTTGTATATTACTTTAATCAAAAACTGAAAATAAACGCAGAAGAGTACTTAAGCGTCACACTATACAGATAGGGCGAGAACAATAAAATGAAGGTCAGAATTTAAAGTTATAAAAGCGATAAGAGCTATAAAAAGGTATTTCTAATATAGTTGACACAAGGGAGTAGCTTATAGAAGAAATAAAAACAACAAAATGTTGATAAAAAACTGATGAAACGAAACTAATTCCAAATCTTTTTCAATATCTCATAATGCTAAAAAAACCTAATTTCATTAAATCTACCCAAAGTCAAAGCAAGTTTAATGTACTATAAGATAATAAATAACGAAAACTTGATTTTTAAAAGATATCGTGCATTAAAGCAAAAAATCATACAAATTTTGATAAAAATGGGCGATTTTGTATTGTTTTGCATAGCAACTCAACATCTAAATTGTTCAAAATTAAATTAAATAATAGATTATTTGATGTACTATACAGAATGTAGTTTTTGGTGGTTATAATAAATCGAATCTACCAACTATTTGAATAATGCTTGGATCAAAATAAAATTTCTGGTGATAATAAATAAAATAATTTTCTAACTATCAACATTCTTTTTTGAAAATCCTATTATAAATCAAAATACTAGGAGGGGGGCAAAATCATACTAATTTGTTTGTAAAGTACTCATTGAGTAGTTTTACTTATGACAGAGTTCAATAAGTCATACATCAATCAATACTTATTTAAAAATATCTCGATTAAAAATACAAGAAAAATTCTATACTTAACTTTTTTTTTATATTCATTTTAAGTATTATATAAATGGTTAACTATCGCATAATGCTCATACTAGCGTTAAAAATAGACAATTTTTATTTCTCAACGATGTGCCCAAAAATCAATTAACAGAGACTACACAAGGGGCTTAGCTTATAAAAATGAAATATGTATTTGTACAAACTTTTTATACAAATTTATATTTCTGAAAGAATTTATCATAACCAAAGACTATTTTTTGATATGAATAATCACATTTTAGCTAGTGATGGGCATAATTGAATTATTTCGATTATAATAAGAATAATCGAAATTTCATAATATTTATTATGTATATTGTGTATAATGTATATTTTTAAATTATAATTAAATAATGGTATACACATATTATACATTAGTACGTAGTATTATTAACTCCAGTCCTGAACATGACTCATTTGTTGGTTATAAAGTTATTATAATTTCAAGCAGGTATTCGGCGCACTACCTTTTCTGATATTTATTTTATAGGTCCATAAGTGTTTGATGATTGTTATTATTTATTTTTAGCCATTTTTATATTAAAACTTTGTTGCATGAATGAAGCCAAAAATAATGCGGGCTGTTTGAGCCCCATAAAAGAGTTATCAATTTAGTATATGTTGACCTCTAGTTGGTAATACTGGATATGGTGCAATACCCACTTGTACTGTTGTTATCAGCTGCTGTTGCTGTTGTCAGTACAATTTAACGTTTCTGTGGTTTTTAAATATGTGAGTGTTCTCTCTAACCTGCAAGCTCATGCATGTTTTAACGTGCTCTACGTACTTCTACACACCGTAGATGGTTTTTATGTAAGCTCATACAGTGCTCTGTTCATAATTGTGCTCTCAAACAAAACCACATTGTTGCTATGAACAATGTAGACACTATTCTACAGTTTTAATGCACTGCTGTCCTATGCAGAGGATTCAATGAAATAGAGAATATCAGCTCAGATAACCAAGTCAATGTACAGCTCATGTGATCCATAAAGAGGCAGCTCAGCTAAACATCAAGGAGTATCCAAACACCAGAGAGAGTATTTGTTATATCCCTTAGCTCATAAGGCGACAATTGCGTTTTAAATATATAAATTAATTATTTAAAGGTTATGTACTTTATTTTAGGTTAAGTATTATCGGTCCACATGATCCTTATAAGCTATTGACGCCAACCGTTAATTTAGGAGTGTCATGGCGCAACACGGGCTATGTTAATAAATAAGACAATATATGTATAAATATTTATATCAAATGTTTTTTTTTAATAGGCATATTAATTAATAATACTAAATAATATACCTATATTACTAATATTAATTTAATATGGATATGATGACGAAATATGAATTGTGATTGTTTTCTTTCATTTTGAATCATCTTACAAGTCGATACTAGTCTATTTTTTAATAATTCTGAAATATTTTTCTAATTAACTTTCATAATTTAAATATGATTCCGGGCTGTAAACAACATTCTATTGTCTGGGATCATTAAAAAAAAAATACTGATAATAAAACTGTTACGAGTTAAGTATGTAAAAAGGATTTTAAATATTACGAAAACACTAACTAAAAAAACTAACTAAATAGATAAGTACTTAAAAATCATATTACTTATAACTAGAAATTTCTATATAATAATAAGATAATTCCTTATTATGGAATTATTTATTTTTATATTTTTAAGTTTATTATATAGAGCATTTTATTTCGGAGGATATTTCATATTTCAATAAGTTGTTTTTTAAAGTTTAAATGTAGAGTCAACGTTTAAGCCGAGCGTGATGGTAAATTGTATATAAATTTGTAAAATATTATTTATATTTTATTTTAAATACATATATAGGTATATTTTATTATTCGTAATGGCTGTATTTTAAAGTAGTAGATTTGGTATTTAATTAAAATTAACATATCTTTAATTTAACACGCACTAAAAGTTAAATATTAATACGATTAGTGTTATTTTTAAATAATAAGTATTATACTAACAAATACAAAATATAAAATTAATGATTCATTTACCAGTGAATATTCACTTGTAGGAGCTTATTTTTTTACTTATACCTATTTGAATAATACGACGTCATCAAATAGTGACTGATCTGTGGGTTTGGATTTGGATTTGTTTACATAACTGAAACAACCTTTTTTATCTAATATCATTGATAATATACAATAACGAGCACTAAAGCCAGGAAAAGGACTCTTTGATAAGGAAGACAATAAAAGTCTGTAATTTTCCCGGCTTCGATATTAATTTTAAGTCTGCATCTAGTTGTAATATGAATATATATATAATTATATAATTACAGATAAGATAAGATATGTCTTATCTGTTGTAATACTATTTAAACCAGAAGAAAAAAATTCAATAAATTTAATTTCTTTAATTTGTGATATCGCTAAAAATAATTTTAATTTTCCATTTTTTTGTTTTAAATTAAAAATTTTATTGTTTAACTGTCATACATACAATTTGATCAGTAGTTATTGCAAATTTGGTGTTTGTAATTTGTTTACTCTCTTTATTTAAGGTAATATAGAAAATCAACTACGTTTTATTTCTGTTGTATAATATAATTGAGTTTTTGTATTTTTCGAAAGCAAATAACACAATGTCACGTCCCACAAGTTGTGCAGAAAATGACTTGTCATTAGCTGATAATGAATTACTCTTAGAAAGTGACTATATGTCTACAATATTAAATACACTAAATGGTTTTTGTAAAGTTAATTTAGAAGTCCCTCAAACTAAGCTATTTTTTTCAAGTGATAGCCTTTTGCCAATCAATGCAAAGATTAAGTTATCAAATAAAGAACATACTTATCATAGAAGTAATACTCCTGATCATATAGCTGATGTTTTTAAAAATGTTGTGAATTTGCAACATAATGATAATATTGAAAATATAGATTTGAATCAATTACGTACATCTAATCAGAAATCAGTTGATCAATTTCAAATGTATTCTGAACCTCCATCAAATGAAAGTAATAGTTGTTCAACTAATCAAAGAGAAGAAAAAAAGAAATGTATGTCTCCTAAAAATAAGAAAAGAAAAACAAAATATAACAAATTAAGTAATCTAGACCCATCACAGGACCTAACTTCATTAATATCTATGCAAATTAAAAGTAATTTGAATGATTTAAATTGTTCTGATAAAATTAACAGAATGGAAATCCCTGATTGTGGGACAAATGTTACTAACAGTCATCTAGATCAAGTAATTATTTTTCTGAGTTATAAATGTTTACATGATTAATTGAAGTTGAAATTTTTAGAATTTTCTTAGTAATGATATTAAAAATTTGAAGAATACCTTAAATAATACACAAGGAACCAGTACAGGACAATTAATGACTCAAAAAACGAGTGATGTTACTTTTAGTGATAAATTGATATCTCAATCTGAATGCCCTTTATGTTTTGGGATTTATCCTACCTCTGATATTGAAGTAAATAAATTTATTTTTATTGTTTAGATGTTTATTAGTATAGTGTGTGTAGAAGTTTCTTCTTGGTTTAAAATTTTCTTATTTATGAGTGTCCATTCCTTTTTTTATTTCATTTTTTTTATTAAGACTGAAATTATGAAGTATTCTATATTAATTTTAATTTAAGAATATGAAATAGATCTTAAGTCAAAAATTTTTTTGTGCAACATAGCTTGAGTACAAACTCAAGTTTTTATATTAAAAGTTGATTAGAATATTCATCAACAAAGAATATTCAATGTTATGTTTACAGAATATAAAAAGAGCTCATGAAAAATTTTCTTGCTAGATGTAATATAATATTGAACTAAAATATAGAACATATTTTGCTCTGTCAGGTATGAATCAGTGTGTGAATATGGGAAAGTGGCCAATTATTGATGGTAGATAATATTCAGTTATTGAATATTCAAATAGTTAATTATTAATTAACAGCAGATTTTTTTTTTTATAAAACAAATCAAATTTACATTGTATTGAGACAGTCTGTACCCTCACTGCTCTTCCCTGTGTGTTGCCACTATGCTCTATTCACTATTAACATTAAAATAATTTTTAAATTTTGATATAATATCATAAAGAGTGATTAAAAAATTATGTAAATAACGTTTCTTTACTCTTTGTACTCATAAGAAATTTGTCTTTTTTCAGGCACATGCTTCAGAATGCAATATTTGATACTACAAATTGTTTAATTGACTATTCTAAAATTTTTTGTTTGTTGTTATATCTGTTATAATTTAGTAATTTAACAATCATTAATATTTTATTTATATATATTCATTGAATTGATTATTTTTGACTAATTATCTACATACAATTTTCTATTTTTTAATTCTAAATTTAAGTCTGCTATTGGTAAGTATGACACAAATGAAGTATTATAATATATTATGTCAAAAAAAAAAAAATAATCATAAACAATTATTAGTTTGCCATTATAAATGGGGCTTATATAAGTCTTATTCAAAAACTTGTCCAAGTTTGCATTATTAGAATTAAAATTCTTTATAGTGTTTTTATTTTTAGTGGTTGAATAAAAACGTAGAGTACAATATTATTTAAGTTATATAAATAAATTCTTTAATGCTGTTTACTTATTGTTTTTTAATGTATTAATGACTGATATTTATATCCAATTATACTAAAACAAAAAATTGGTTTTAATTAAAAATTTTGCTAAATTTTTTTTTTTTTTTTTTGAGGTATGATAAAGGCACTATTTATAGCCAGTATTCCACTTATAGCTTAAGATATTTTTTTTATATTAACTTTCATACATAACACTGAAATAATATTTTTGTAAATTAAGAAAATAGTATTTATGATACAGGTAGTTTTTAAAGCTTAAATAAGAAAGTGATCAATGGTAAAGTTTAAGTAGTTACAGAGGGTGACTTTGCCTTTTTACATATTTTATCATTATTATTTGCTTTTTGTGGCATACATGTATCTCAAATCTAACCATTAACATTTATAACTTTTGATTGGACTGATTTCTTTCAACGATATGGCAAAAGGTCACAAATCATATTTAGTTGAAGACATTGCCCTTAAAAAATGAAACATTTTCTTTAGTTAGGGAACTAAAAATGGGAAAATCCTCATTTTTTAATGGTAATATATGCTTTGCTTAACCAAATTTTTATGCTAATTTCAAGTCTGAAATTAGATTTTTTCTACTACTTTTTTTTAAAATTATTACTAATTAAAAAGTGAGTATTTACACGTGAAATAATTAATTAAAAACAAAAAAAATTTTGATCAAGTTATTATTGATTTTTAATATATTGAAATTAATCTGTGCAAAATTTCAATTCAAAATGTCATTTTTAACTTGTTTTTTTTATTTTTTAAAGTTTATTTGTGTGAAAGTTAATATTTAAAAATATTGAACTTTTAATCATTAGCTAAAATGCTCAACTTGCAAGTTTAGAATTGATATCATTAAATAGAAAGTTTCATGAGGAATTAAAAAATTGTATTTTCTAAACTGATATATGATCAGGAATTTATTTACTATTAACTGTAAATTTATGAGTAAGCTCAAAATATCGTTGAAATCACTATTTTTTTGTATTTTTACTGTAATAAATCATTTAAATATAAATCATAGTAATTATTTCTATATAACTGATGGTGTTTAAAAAGATTCTACAATTGAAATAATCAGAACTTAATGAATACTCAATTATTTATATTGATATGCTGCACATAATAATACATTCAGTTATGTATTTTTTGAATTGCAATATATTCATTGATTATTCATATGTAACCTAAAAATCAGACATAAATATTAATAATTAGAAAGATTTTGTTATTATTTAACGGAAACTCTTACCTTCGTGTATGACCAAGCCAAAAAGAATTGTATCAAATTTTTAATGACATGTTTTATTTTGTTATGATTTAGTGAATCTAGGAAATCTTAGCCTATCAGTTAGATAAGGATATTAAAAAGATAAATTTAATTATCCCTCCCAATTTAGTTATCCCGCTATTCGAAAACCAATAAGTTCTCTTATACAATGTCCAAATATTCATGCTACTGATACGATCACATTTGCATGTGCCCATGCACATATAAAATGACTTCTTTTTTTGTTCATAACTTTTGTTAACATACATTTTAGATTTTTTTTTTTAAATCTGTTATTTGTTTTGAATTTATTTTTATTAATGAAAATATTTCTTTTTATACAGGTGTATTTCTACGTAATAAACACTTCAAAAATAGGTGATAACATTAACCTAGATATTTTAGGTTATTTTCAAATAATTAAAAATCTAATTAATTGTTTCAATTGTAGAAATTTTTTAAAAAAAATTATTTTATTATATTGTTATTATATAATATTGTTAAAACATGCCTTTGAATTTTACTAATTTCTTTATCTTTTGTGAACACTTATAATTAGTGTCGTGCTAACCGTCATCTATTTAAAATAGATAGAAATTTAATTACTTGTTGTGAAATATTTTTCATTCACAAGAGTCATAGTGACTCTTTGGTGTCCGGATTGCCCCTCTACCCGGTGACCGGAGGTAATGGTGCAGAGAGCTTTGGGTTCACCAATCCATACCTGAAAACCGCACTGCAAGCTATTTATTTATCACTATAAGAAAGAAGATCAAGGTTTTAAACTAAAAGAAGACGCGATAGTTCTTCTCTACCACTATAGCGCTGACTTTCTCAAGAGAGGTTAGCGGAAACTCATCACTTCTATTTCCTTATAACTTATGTCAAAGTACGCGGCAGAGCATTGAATGATCTAGGAGAAGTACCAAGGCGGGATTAGAGTTCGAATTTCTGACCGTTAAGGGTAATTTGTACATTGGAAAAATAGAAAACTACTGTGTTAACAAGCCTGAAAACCAAGCCCAATCGAGTCCGACACGACGAATCTAGCAAGCAAAGCCGATAATACAGGCTTACAGATTCACCAAATTACCAGTGTAGGCCTAGACTGGTCGCGGTAGTCGATAACGTCTATCTATCAACACCCTTGAATCGACGGGCGTTGATGGAAATTACTAATGTTGTACAAAATACATTTTATGGAAAGAATGTCTTCATATTTTTTTGAAATTTTGATAGTTAGCCTTGTTGTTCCCCTCTTAACACGTCCCTACTTAAAATGTTACAAATCTAAATATATATACATATATAAGATATTCAGTAAGTAAGGAAACGAGTTTTTGTTCTTTTCATTGTTTGTAACAATTCACCTGTTTCTTTACTTTTCATAGCTCATAGTTTCCACCAAAATTGACCGTATCTTTAAAGTCAAACCTATAGTTTATACCTGTCTACGAATAGAGGCTTAAGAACCACTGGTTAAAATATTTGCCAAAATAACTCGATAGTAATTATCTACTTTTCATTTAATTGAACTTTTTTCTATTCTATTATTGTTAGATAGCAAAGCATCGATAACCGATATATCAATACATTTTTACAATCCGTTCTTTTTTAATTAAAATGTTATTTGGATACATCAGAAGTAAGCAGGGACTAACAAATTATTTTAAGTTTCGTTTGCATATTAAACAACATAAACGGATAACATACGTTGGTGTTGTGTAACAGAATGTAAAGGTACCATTCACGTGAATGAGCTTGATGAAATTATAAACTATATTTTTATTATTTATTACAAAAATATATATACATACTTAAGACCTATTAGAATTTATTTACCTTTGGTAAAACGTCATACTTTGTTTATAAAGATGTACCTATTTGATAAAACATGTAATTATTCAAAAAGAAGTGACGTATTTAGGGGATAGTTAAGGGGGACAAAAATCTCATTTGATGGTGATGGGAAAAAATAATAATTTTTTTCTAATTAATATTAATACCCTATGTTATATTGAACTTTTTATGTTTGATGGAAAAAAAAAACTGGCCTTATTCAGGTTTGGCGGAAACGATAATTAACCAATTTTTGAACATTCTGTACATGTATTTATATTTAATATGTGCGTATTGCTACTGCAAAAACGTCTAAGTTAAGTTTTTAACACATAAATAGTAATAATCCATAATTTTCCTATTTTTAACCTAAGAAAAACATTTAAAAAAATACTTAGGTAAAATAATTATATTGAACAATTATTATATAAACTCGTTTATACATTTTATAAGTTAGTGCTGCCATCAGAAATTAAAAAAATAGTAACTCTTAAATTATTGCTTAAAAATATAACAGCTTAACTGAAATTTGGTTTAAATTATAAAGCCGATGGACTAAAAAAAATTCATGATGATGAATATATTATATTAATCGTCATTTGTTATCTTCAGTGTACAATGGTAATTCTAATGAGTCTTGCAATTTGTTCACTTCTTCTATCATTTTTTTCTGTCAAAATGGTCATAATTTTTTTTTTTTAATTTAATCAACTATAAATATAATTTATCGTTAATTATTTAATACCTTGTTTAATTTTCCTGTATTATTCTTTATGTGTTTATGAAAAACTGTTTTTAATGCATTGTCCGTTGACAATTCCAGTCTGACAATTTCATTGGTTATTTCTTCAAGAAATTTTGAGTAAGAAATACTTTTATACTGTTGACTGAAAACATTTAAGAAACCTAAAGTAAATGGTAATTATAAAGTTTACGTTCAATTTTAAATTAATATAATACGGCTACTGCTTGAATTAGATTAACTATCCATTATTCCATTATGCAAGGAAGATAATTTTATTTCCGTTATTTATCAGTTATAACGATAAATCTGTGTCTAGTGATTGATTGTAAACTTATTCACAGTGCTGTCGTAAGGCGTACCTCTGTCGGTTTGCTTCGAGGCATGGTTAGGGTTTTATTATTCATGGGTGGGTGAAATGCATATAAAAAATATTTATTATTCTTTCAAAATGAAAAAAAAATGTATCTTTACCATCTCAATTATCATCAAATTATCAAATTTATCATCGACTGTATCTTTATTTTTACCCATGGAATCTATCCTATACCCTCTCTCCTGACACATAGACTCCGCAAATCTAACACCGTCACAGAATGATTATAGTGTAATAAATTATCTGTAAACTTTTACCTTTTACTTTTATTCATTCTGTCAATATATTCAGGAGAATATTGTTGTCTAATAAGTTTTCTACTTTTTTCGTCTCTTTGGCAGGTAATATCTACTGAACAAGCACGACTGTTGTTTTCCATTGATTCATAATCATCATCGTTCAAATTTGCTGAATCATCACTTATATTCTGTTTACAATTGAAATAATTGTTGTATTATTAAATAATTTAAAATGTTAAGAGTCAGTAAAATATCCAAGATTTTTTCAATCGGAGCGGGCATAGTTAAGTTAGGATACCAAAGTGTTTTACCGTCCATTATTGAAGACGTTATAATTTGCTCATTATCTCAAATAAATAATTTAGTTTAATTATAAAGTTTTATTCATTTGGTACCTTATAACTAAGTAATAATTTTCTCTTACCGATTCTAAATATTTAATAGGTTTTTCAACTGACAAAGATTTTTTGGGTCGTTGTGTAAGATTATCTGGCAATGTAATACGTGATTTCTGAAAATTTAGTAATAATTATACAGTTCAAAATTTCGTCCTTTTGATCTTTATTAAAGATTATATTAAAATTTTTAATAAATTAATCGTTAAGATGCTGTCGTTGATTTGTTAACTTAAGTCAATTTTAATATTCATTTGTTGAGTACAATACTTACTATTTTTATTTTATTAGAGAGAGCATTCAAATTCAATTTCTGTTGGCTGTAGTATATTTTTGATTTTTTTGCTGAAGAGCTTATTGTTGAGTTACAGTAGTTTGGAGATTCTCTATATAATATAGCAAATAATATTCATTTAAATATAAAAAAATTTATTTTTTTTATGTAAGTTAATAAATTATCTATATTTAATTAATTTATTGGATAAAATTTAAATTTAATTTTGAGAAAATAGAAATGTGTAGATAAATAGTTCTAGTGTATATTTTTTTCACTCACTGCAAATCACGAATATCAACTGTATTACATATATGCTTCTTATTTGGACAACTTTTTGACCAACAATTTACTCNTCACTGCAAATCACGAATATCAACTGTATTACATATATGCTTCTTATTTGGACAACTTTTTGACCAACAATTTACTCTTGGTTTAGCATCATATATTTTTTTAAAATGACTCCTCATTGCTAAAAATGTTGTGATGTTATCTTCTATAAAAGTCAATGAATAATATTTTTTAATGAAAGAATTTTAACTATAGTATACATTAGAATTATAATTGTTTGAATATGAGATGTATAATAAGTTTAAATAAAATTAACTATATATTACTCATTTGGTATGGTTTAATTTGTTATCAATAAATCAGTTGAATTATTTCATAAAATAATTTATTTTATTTTGAAGTTGTGGTAAATTTCTTTTTTAAGTTTTGAAGTTGTTTTAATCAATGTTTTCATAACGAAACTTTTTTTTGGAAAATTTACACTCAAAAAATTTGTTTTGGGTATAAAATATAACACATTTAATCAAAACTATATTTACTTCGATAAAAACACAATACTTAATAGTAGTTTAATATCGTGTGTATATAATGTATCTTCAATTAGATATGTTTTGTGAAATTTGACGTTTTTTTGAACAAAATCAGCCCAGTAAAAGTTGATCATTTCGCACGCCTGACAAAAAAAACAACACAACTGTGTTGATTTTACTAGTAAAACCAAAAGCTTCTTAGCTAATTATCGAAGCTAAAATATTGGGGGATGTAAAAAAAGTGTTTTTTCAGACTAAATAATTTTTTTTAACCGTTCTTTTTTTAAAGTTGTTTTATATTCACAACATAATTTATGTTAATTATTATTACGTACGCTACTTCTATTTGGCACAAGTTTTAATATTTTTCCAAATGTGATATTAATAAATTCAGTACTTAATTTTTAACGTAAAAATCAACTACACATTTTTAATTTTATAAAATTTTTAGAAAGACGCCCCAACGGCCCGAGTACCTCATAGTTACTCGGGTCGCCTTGGATGAGGCGGCTTCTACCCCGTGGAAAGGGGAGGTAGGCCGAGGCTACTCATCATTAAATAGCCTAGACCCGGAAGTGCAGGAATGAGGAACAAGCAAAAGGAATGTGGTCTGGGCCACCTGAGAGACGAGGAGGCTTTTTATAAAATGTTTAATTTTATAAAATTTAAATATTAAAAAAAAACTCCAATATCATTACTATAACTTAGTTAAATTAATTACCGTTTCTCAAAAAAATGAAAATCTGAGGATGTCACATATAGAGTGTTCAGTAAGTAAGGAAACGGGTTTCGTTTGTTCTCATTATTTATAACAATTGATGATATGTTTCCTTATTTACAGAACACTTAGTATAATTATCATTATACAATTTAATAATATTACTTAATTTTTTTTATTATTGTTATTATTAAAATATAATAGATTTTTATTAAAATATAATCTATTTTAAATAATTAACTAATGAGTATGTATGCTGTAATAACTATGCTAAATATATTTTAATTAATTTTACTTAGTAATTTCAAAACAAATACTCTTTATCGTATGAATATTTAAAGGTGACTATAAATTCGTCTATGTAAATTGATTTTTTACGTTTTTTTATTTCATTTCGTTTCCTCTTTTTTTAGTAGTCTAGAAACGTACCTTATTATATCCTAGTTTATTGAAGTTATAAACACTTATGATTTAATGCGTATGTGGATAAAAATACATTTAATTAAATAATTCTAAAACATACCTGAAATTTTAGTTTTTACAGCAGACATTTTAGTTCATTTAAAAGATAAATGAAGTACAATTTAAATTAATGGACACATTTAAACATAAATTTATATTATGTTCCAAAAAAATGCAATTTATTAATGAATATGTTTTTTATAGCTAGAATTAAAGTCATGTAAGGATTTTTTAAGTTCGTGTATATCTTGATTATAATTGATTACGTTACTATAGCAACAGAAGTATATACAAATCGAATGCTTAAAAAATAACTATACCCTTAAATAGAATTATTTTATCATTTTTTAATGTTGTCCTATCATAGATCGAAATTTGGAAACTGCCAAAAAATACCTTTATGAATAAGAAATCAAATTTTTATCAGAATAGGTGGCAGAGACAGAGTAATATCTATGCTGGAAATGTCTAAGTATTAGAATATTTTGTAACTCCATCTATAATTTTAAGTTTTTAATATTATAATTGTTTATTTATAAAAAATATGACTAAATATTTCAATACTTATAAACAGTGTTGGATCCGATGTAGACTAAGTCCTTTCCCTTTGGTCGTGCTAAACTTTTGTTTTGAGTAAAAAAAAATCTCAAAAATAATTATATAATATATTTTATTTAATTAATAAACGGTACAATTCCCTCCCCTATTAACAAGTTTTGGTACGGCACTTCTTTAAAATAGTATTTCAAATATAGTACATTTGATTACTATTTGATTTGCATTATAATTTTAGAGGCCACTACTGCATAATGATGTAATTTTTTTTTAACCAAAAAAATCAATGAAATGTTTATAACAATATATTTTTTAGAAATTCTTATTGGACGACCAATAAGATACCGTTATTGATAGACCGTTGAATACTCTCTAATTAAAACACTGCGTATTTTAAGGGAAACAAAAATAAGGTTATCAATAAATACTTATCAGAAATATTAAAGATATTACTTTAGTTTGTAGTTGTAACAAAATTATTGAGGAAACACCCGATAAGTTTACCCTCGTAATATTTACAAGCTACAGTTAACACCGAATAGACCTTCATGCAATCGATTGTTTAGCAGATGTAGGTTGAAACATCATAATGTACGTTCCGCATAAGGTGTAGTCAGAACTATTTCTATAATACTATTGTATTTTTAAATATACAAAATATTCATATTAAATAGTTTTTGGAATGTGTATTTTTAATTTCTAACATTTTCGGGTAGCTTAAAAGTTGCTATTTTTTTTTTTATAAAAATTATTTGTTTGTAAATAATTTTTTTATGTTTTTAATATCTTTAAAGATATTTTATTGTCAGTAGCAGATCCAGTAGGGCATCTAGTGAGTCCCTTTGAGCTATTATTAAAACAATAATTAAAATTATTGTTTTTAATGATAGTGGTTTTAATCACTGTTATATTACAGAAACATCATTAAAAATTTGTAAAGGCGAAGTTACTCTACTGAAATATTTTTTTAAGAATCCCTTAATTAGTCTAATTTACATGTCGTTATGGTCACCTATGGCGGGGAGAAAATGTTTCTCTAAACGCTATCCTCCAAAAAGTGGTCCTTTTTAAAGAAATGTGTATATCAGTTTTAACTAAAATAAAACGGTAGCACAGTGTGGATGTAGTTGAGACAAGTATAGACAATATCTGACAGTGATTAAAACCACTATCTTTAAAAACGCTGGGATGCAAATTTCTAGATAGTGTTTAATTTTAAGAAGTATTGGTTGGATTATCTCAAAAGCAACATCAAATCCTATTTTCTTAACTATATCTAGATAACAAGATTTATGATTTATAAGTATTATGTATGAATTATTATAGTATAATAAAAATAAAAATTGATCACTTGCGGCTAATTATTTAAAATTAATATTATATAACAAATATTAATTAAAAACTAAAAAAATACTAAAAAGATTTTACTCAAAAAGAGACAAAACAAATTACTAAAATATCACGGATACATATTGTGTGAACAATGTTATCATGATTAACGCTAAAAGACTATTTTTCGGGATATCAGTATCATATAAAAAAAATCCGGTAATTTATTACCGGATTTTATTTATTATAAATAAATTTATTATATTTATTATATTTATCCGGCACTCTCAATAATACAAATTATTAGCTTCGATGCAAAGCTAAGAAGGTATTGATTTTACCATTATATGTTTATTTTTTTTTTTTTTTGTGTGTTTCTGTCACTACTTTTTCTCAGTTTTCACTGGACCGATTTTTCTCGACGATACGTCAAAAGATCAAAAATAAAAATTTTTCTCTCGTTCCCTCAAAATGGACGATTTTTAAAATCGGTAAATTTCGACATTTTTTCCACATCTTTTTCTAAAAATAGTCATAATTTATTGAAAAATGAATAAATCAAAATAATTTTTTTATATTGTAACTTAAAGTAATTCCCTTTTATTTGATATAATATTTTTGAAAATCTGATAATGATTTTAATGGACAAGTATAGATGACATTTGACAGTGATTAAAATCATTATCAAACACTTCGATACAAATCTGTAGTGTTAAATTTAAAAAAGTTGGTGGATTATTACAAATGCAAAATTGACTCTAATTTTTTTTTCTACTTCAACTGCCATTTGTACATAGAAAATTGGCCGTCCATACAAATTTTTTTTAAATGAACGGCCAGTACATAAAATAAGCTTTATTTATACATATATTTAAAAGATGCAGATGACCTGGACCATTTTCAAAAATTAAGTTGAAAAAGTTCTACTTTTTACTTGTATTTTAAAAAATTTAAACCCCCCTATATAAAGGGAAATGGTTCAATTTAAATACAAAGTATGTCAAATGAAAGAAGTATATATAATGTATTTAGAAAAAAAAAATTTGATTGATCTATACATTTTTCAAAATGTTATAGCAATTTAAAATCGAATATTTTAACACAAAAATAGCCCTTTTTTAAACTACGGCAGCTGTATGCACGTAGAAGATGAGTCGCTGGGACAAATTTTATTATTAAACAAATTTATAGTATGTTTTATAAGCTTTAATTTGTCATTTTTTTAAAGGACGCTGTATTTCCGGAATATATTTCAAAAGTTAAGTTGAATTTTGTAAAAAAGTTACTATTTTGAATTCTTTCTTGTGGGCAGGTAAAGGGTCAGATTTTCAAAAATATTATATCAAATAAAAGGGAATTACTTTAGGTTACAATAAAAAAAAAATTATTTTGATTTATTCATTTTTCAATAAGTTATGACTATTTTTAGAAAAAGAAGTGAAAAAAATGTCGAAATTTACCGATTTTAAAAATCATCCATTTTGGGGGAACGAGGGGAAAATTTAATTTTTGAGGTTAAGGTCTTACACTAGATATGATTTTTGATTTTTTGACGTATCGTTGAGAGAAATCGGTTCAGTGAGAGCTAAGAAAAAGTAGTGACAGATACAAAAAAAAAAATAAATAAATAAATAAAAAACATAATGGTAAAATTAATATCTTTTCAGCTTCGCATCGATGCTAAAAATTACAATATCTTTACATTTTGGTCGTTCATATCGGAATAGGCTCCCAAAATCCGTAGGTCCTGGTGACCGTCCCTCTTGGACCCAAGCGTGCATGTGATAGAAATTAAATCAGCTTTATATAAAAAGATAATTTTCAAATATTATTAATATATCAAGTAATATGTCATTGTCTATGTGTTTTTTAAATTAAAATGATTTTGTGTTAGGGAAAACGTGGAGATTTTTAATTAATATAAATTATTTTTGATTCCTAAGAATGATTTATACTTTGTAACTTTTTAATACTATATTTTAATTATGTATGTCAAAATGTAAGCGACTCGTCTTTGCTTGTCCTTAACATGTCGACATGACGTAAAATGTGTATTGGTGTCATATGTCAGGATGCCGAGACGTACCAACACCGTAGGTTAGCGAAAAATAACGTGCATCTCTCCACCCCCGCCTATGACAAGGCCATTAAAGAGTACCAGCAGCTGTATTGTTGTTGTTTAAACGTGTTAGGAAGAGTATAGGCATTGTAATGCAATGCGTCGTGCGTAAAGTGTATGTGTAGCAGACTTAAATAGTAGTATTCCTCTTCGGACTTCGACCCTTCAACTGACTTCCTCACCATAAAATATTCATTGTGTTGTGCTTCGGGTATTCTCGTTATTTGTCGTCTGTACTCGTTGGCTACGAATCGAGCCCATAATCAGCAATCGCTTGCGAGTGGATGTGCACATTTAAAAATGAGAGAATGTTTTTGTCGTGATGCATTTGATGAAAAATTCAATAACAATTAATGTCACGATTATTATAAATTAAAACAGTTTATGTGTTTGCTAAATGGATTTTTGATTTTTCGATATCAAGTGCGCTATTAAAAGTTTTCTTTGTGGTGGATCAAATTTTTTTTATTTTATCAGTCTTATACTTCTTGATTTTACAATAAGTTAAGTGAATTATTATAATTATCAAGTCTGTAACCTGTCATTAGGCTTGGCGTATCATAGAATAATATTATGCACTTTTAGTACTACGCCATCGACAGGTCATAACGAATCCATACATGATTAACATCGTTGATTTACTTTATTGTATATTGGTTCAAAAGAAGCAGGATACAATTCAAAGGTGTATTCACTTGTGTATCATATTAGTTTTATTTACTAATTGACAAATCTATAAGGTTAAACTTTTTTGACATAGACATGTATACTTAGCAAACGTAATGTGTTTAATTGGCCCATCTGTTATCCTCTTTTTTACACCTTTAGAAATATTTTTCAGATTACTTGCTGTCCCGTTGAAGATGTTGAATATGGATATATATGTAGTCAAAATCCCTCCCCCTAGATCTTTACAATTTCCATTGAGTAAATATACATACGATAAATTGTTCAGCAATTAAGTTTTGTATGAAGCAATAAAATTGTAACAGTTCGAATTATTATTTCAATATTCTAGAGCACGCATAGCGCCAAAAATATTTCTAAAGAAATTTTGATTGAATTTTGGAACAATATAGACCACACACCTTGGTCATTCAGCATTTTACAAACCTCTTGAAATTCTATGCAAACAAAATTAGATAATAAGTTAAAAAATATTACTGTTATGGTAAATCGGTATGCATAATGTGCATACCTTTTATATAATAAATAATAGTTATAAAGTTTATTTTAAAATAAAGTAACTTTAACTAGTAAGTATACAGGTCTATGAACTTAACGGACATTTGTCGATTTCAGCTTGTGACTTGGATGATTACAAACACTTATCAGTGGATGAGTATATAAAATATTTTATTTCCAAAGAACTCATAAATAGTGTGATATTAGCGATACAAGTGCGTGATGAGAAAACTAAAACGATGTTCAAATGGTCACAATAGAGTTGCCGCCCCCTGTCTTATGATTAATATTTTTACGTCATGATTGCCGACACCTTTAACTCAGTTGAAATTTTCGCTGTGTCTTATATCGATCTAAAAATTGAAATGATTGCAATCCGTGTGACCAATAATAATAATTTTAATTATGTATCTTATGTCGATTATTTGTTTCTTGCCTAATGTCTTTTTGAGATTCGCTACAATATGGTTAAAAGGTATGTATGTATATATATTTTTTTATATTCAGAGTATATAGAGTAATGTTTACAGTACTTAATTGATAACGTTTAAAAATATTTATTTTGACTAATAAATAAAAACTTATTCAATCAATTTTTTTTATCATTTTTTAATTAAATATAATCGAGTTGTGTTATATAAATCAAAATTTAATGGTTAATCATTTTTGGGTTTTACTCTAATTACAATTTAATAAATGTATGCTTTAGATCATTTGTGTAATTTAGTGCTGCATACTATTATTGAAAGTTGTTTAATAATTACTAAACTTAATTATAAATAATTATAAACAAAATCTTAATTTTTAAGGTTTCAATGCAGATAACATTTTTTATTTTTATATTTTATGAGGCGAGTTAAGTAATGAAAATAAAATACACTTATAGATTAATTACGGCTTAAACAATTTTCAAAACTCTTTATGACAATAAGCAACTAATAACAAACAAAATATGATGTGTAGTTTTTGTTAGCTCATTAGTTTTAATTAATGTTATTTTTTAAATCTAAATTTTAATTTTAATATCAAATTTTTTTTTTTTGATTTTTTTAGAACTGAAGCTATTGACTCCAAGAAAACTGATGATGTTAAACATGAAAATGTAGTAAAATATGGAGAATTAATTATATTAGGGTAAGTTTCATACTATAATATAATACTATTAATATTATGATTGAGTTCTTCAAATTAAAGGAACTTAATAATTACCTAATGAAATATATGCTCCTTTACTTTAAATAAAATGTCTGTAAATACATAATGTTATATATGTTATCATTGAAATTCGGTCAATGGTCTTTTAATAGTAGTTATTAAATGCTAAAAAAAGAAAAAGGTTTTAGTATGTATTTTATATGGTAACCTGTATTGACAAAAAAAGCATGTTGTAAACAAGTTATTCAAGGAACAGGTCAATTATTAAAAACAATTGTAAACAATAGAAACCTTGCCTTTGCTTACTGAACACTATATGTCAATTTCAATACATTTAGTATGTTTATTATAGTAAGTCAAATTTGGAATTGGCATTAACATTTTTCTAATAAAGTTAATAAAAATATTATAAATAATAATTTTTATTTTACTTTTATTATTGAGAAATTTAAATATTTTTATAAATAAAATTATTAAACCATAGATAAAATTTCTATTACTATCATATTAGTTATTATTCTTTTCATTTTATTTTAATATAAATGTCTATAATATAAATTGTCCAATTAATTTATTACCATTTGCTTATTTAAGTTACAATTTTGAATTTTTCTTAGCCTTATTGTATTTTAAGTGAATTAATTTTTTCTTTTAGTTATAATGGGCAACTTACAGCCGGTGATCGACGAAGGCGTAGAAGCAAATTTGTCCTTTGGAAACGTGAAGTTGCTAATGGTATTAAACGTTCAAATCATTATGTTGTACCAAGTCCACAAAATTCACATGTATGTATTATAAAATAAACTCTAATAATAGTATTGCGATTTCAGCATCAATGTGAATCTGATAAGGTATTAATTTAAGTATGATGTGTTTATTTTTTATTTGTTTGTCACTACATTTCTTAGCTCTCACTTAACCAATATTATTTTACAATATATCATAAATCATATCTACTGTTATCTTCAAAACTTAAAAAAATTTCATTATTTACTGTAAAAAGGGGAATCCTCAAATAGTTACTATTTTTAAAATCAGTAAATTTTGACATTTTATAAACTTTTTTTATGACAATACCCTAGGTATTTCTCTTTTATTAGTTATATATATTTTTTTGATAATTAATATATTAATACTATTAAATGAGACATTTTTGCACAAAAAGTTATCTTTCAATTTTGGAAAATGTTTTGGAAATACTGCGGCTTTTAAACATATGTTAAATTAATATTATATTACATATTATAAATTTTCTGAAACTTATTTTCTATGTGCAAATGGCTACTGTAATTTAAAAAATGCCTTAAATTTAATTATATTAATATTCTAAATTATTTATTTTGTATTTTTAACTTTATATTTCTAGATAACTTTTTCAATTTAATTTTTGAAAATGTTCTGGAATTACTGTGTCTTTTAGACACATGTTAAATTAGAGTTTATACAGTGGACAATAAAAAATTGATCAAATTTTTATACTCTAATATGATAATTATAAAAAATCATACTGTAATATTTATGTTATTATTTTGATTATAATATTATAATTATAAATTTATTGATAATCTTCATATTAATTATAATTGTGTTAAAATTTGTTTAAGGCTGTGCTTGATAAAACAAAACATTCTATTTCATATACTTTATCTAGAACTGAAGCGGTGATAGTAGAATATGTAAATGATGAAAATACAGACATGTTCCAGGTAAGAATAATATTCTTAGAAAGATTTTATTATTAGTAATTTTAAATTATTTAATTTTATATATTTTACAACGATTTTAAGTCTCAAAGGTTAGATTAAACATTTTTTTTTCATTTTCACCATTCTGAAATCTCCTATGACTTTCTTTTTTAAGAAATTGTTAGAACTTAAGACTATACTATTTTTTATTTTATTAAAAAAATAAAGAGTTATATTATAGAATAGGATAAGGAATAGTTTCTTCAATATTAATTTTTAATATTTTGAGATTAAATTTTTAAAGTATTTAATTTTTTTTATTTATTTATTTTTATAGTATTAAACAATAGTCTATATTTCATCTTTTTTTCATGTTTGATCATAAAAGCTTGTCATATATGTCTGTATTTTATAATTTTTAAATCAATTATTCTGCCAATGGTATGTCATTATTATTTATTCTTTTATATACTTCATTGTGTACTCAGAATCAAATTAAAGACTTTCATAAACATGTCTTTTATGCTGCACTTCTCCATATTCATACTTGTTATTTTCAATTAAGCCCTATTTGTACATTTTCTTTTTAGTGAGGCTATATGACACTTTTAATTGGTTTATAGTTCTTCATAAATTCCATGAAAGTGTTTTGTCTTAATGTAATTTTTCTTTTGATATCTCTGTGATTATATTTACTTCTTTTTCTCTTAATTTCACAATCATTAGTTCCCAGTATCTTATTCATTAACATATTTTTAGTTGTACACTAAATGCTATTTTTCTCTGTAATGGCTATTGACTTAATCACAATATCTGGAAATATAACAAAAACTGAGCTTCCATGTTTATTTGGCTTATCTATTACATCCCTTTGTTTTTGTATAATGCTGGTCTCTATGTTTTTTTTAGATACATAGAGTATAATATTTATTTTCTTTGCATGACTAAGGTAAGATTATTAATTTTTATTTTGTTAGTCCCTCATTATTTGGTGAGATCATTGTCAGAGTTGTTTCTGAAAAGGGCCACAAATGAATGTTGTTTTTTTAGCATATCCATAGTTTTAGAATTTATCAGAACATATTGGATATCCTATATAAAAAAATTTTTTTTTTTAATTTTTGACTAGACATTTTTATCTAAGCTGCAAAAATAAAAGTATTATTATTATTTTTCATTTGCTTATAAAGATTATAACTTATAAATTGAAAATAACCTCATAAGAGAATAATAATGAATATATGTATAATAGTAGTTTTGTATTTTGTTTGATTATAATTACTGATTTTATATGCATTTATAAATTTTATTAAGTTATTTCAAACACATTATAAGCTAGTATAAATTATTATTAATATGATTGAAAACTTAATAATGTGAATTAAATGGGGTTATAATGTTTTTTTGGGGAGGTAAAGGAGTTTATTCCCCCATAAAACAAATAATTTTACGCTACTGTATATCTTAACAATAAATTTTCACAAACTTTGAGTCCTTTTAAAATGGCTGAAACAAAATTTATAAATGCATATAAAATTTGCCTCTAATTATAATAAATAAAATTATTCAATATTATGTGTATTATAGATAGGACGTTCTTCAGACACTCCGATTGATTTTGTAGTAATGGATACTAATGCTGAAAAGAATGCAGCGTTGAGTGCGTCTGTGGGTGATAGCAAAAAAGTGACTGCTGCAAGTACTATATCAAGATTTGCTTGTCGTATAATTTGCGATAGAAACAATTCAAATGTGGCTCGAATATATGCTGCTGGATTTGATTCATCAAGAAATATTTTTTTGGGAGTAGGTTAATTAATTAATTATATTTATTTAATGTAAGGCAATGATTTTTATTGTGACATCTAGGAAAAAGCTACAAAATGGAAAGATGGTGAAGAAATAGATGCTTTAACAACTAATGGTGTTTTAATAATGCATCCAAATGGAAAATTTTATGAAGGAAAAACTGAACCCGGTGTGTGGTTAGAAGTCTCTGTTTGTGGTAAACTTTTTTCCTTACGAGGCTCTAGATCCGCTCAATTGAAAGGAGATATGGTAAGTATTTTCTTAATTTTTTAATTTATTTTGTTTACAACTTAAAAGTATATTTATCATTCATAATACATTGTTATAAATATAATTTTTAGTTTATTAAAAAAAAAAATTTTTATATATTTTTTGTTAAAGAAAATAATTTATATCTATCCATGCTTTTTTTGTTTAATCAATTTATCAATTAATTAACAGTATTAATTATGCTATTGTTCATAAAATATAAAAACCTAATAATAATTTTAAATCATAAGTTATTTTAGAGTAATTTAAATTTTCAATTTAGTATTTTATACTTCCAGGTTAAGGATTCTGACAATATTCTTATGGATGGAACATTAATTGACTTATGTGGTGCTACTTTGTTATGGAGATCAGCAGAAGGATTAAGCATATCTCCGGTAATAATATCTTCCTTTAAAATAATATAATTTAAATATTATATTTTTTGAAAGATAGTAATGCTTTAAATTAATTTTTTAGAGTAGGGAATATTTAAAAAAATTAATTGAAAAAACAAATAGAGAAAGACCTACATGTCCTGTTGGATTATACACCTTAGTTTTCCCTCATCATCTTGAAGATTCTGCTTTAAATTCTTCAGAATTATCAGATGGTAAACATCAGCCATATGCTTATTTATCATGTGGTCATGTTCAAGGTCGCCATGATTGGGGTCTCAATAAGGATTCTAATAGCAGAACATGTCCTATGTGTTTAAAAGTAAGTATTCAATTATAACATTTCCTCATTATATAATAATTTTATATTTTTAATTATTCTATTTATTAGGTCGGAGGAGTTGCTAAACTAAGTATGGGAGTTGAAGCTTCATTTTATGTTGAAGATAAGGACCCACCTGATTTGTATGCTTTTAGTCCTTGTGGGCATGTTGCTACAGAAAAAACCGTTAAGTATGTATTAAATATAATAATTTAAAATGTCAAAATATTTACTTGAGTGTTCAGAATGTGTGTCTTACTTCTAGTAATGTATCTTCTTTTTTTTTTAGATTTTGGGCTAATGTAGGTATTCCATATGGAACTAATGGCTTTGAAGCGTTTTGCCCATTCTGCGCCACTTTACTTCAAGGATATCCGGGTTATGTGAAACTTATTTTTAATTAGTTATCATAAACAAAATAATGGATTCCTTTTAAGAATTGATGTTTCTGACATCAAATAGTGTGATAATATTAGTTTATGTCAATCTGCGTGTTTTTTTTTTTGTTATTGCAATATTTTACTCGTAACAATTTTTATTTATTTTTTTCTAATTAATTTTGATGTGCTGCTATTAAAAGTTATCCTAAATTTTATATCTAGAGGGTATATTATTATAGCATAGTTCTTCAGTTTATCAATGAAAATGTACTTTTATTAGTATGATTATTGTATATGTTTGTACCTTTTTTGTGTTTTATTCAACCAAATGTGATTTGTTTATATTTATTTTATTTAGCAGTAAATATTAGTGACAATCTTTTAAAATTAATAATTACTTACTACTACTTACTATTGTATTAAACATGAGAATTTTCAACTATTTTCAGCTTGTTGATCATTTTTTAATCTAGAATTATAAATCATTCATTGTTGCAAGCTTTTTCATTTTTAAGAAAGTATTCTGTAATTTAATTGTATGTTATAATCTAATTTTTCTATTTTGAAGTTAAAAGTCTTTTTTCTTTTGTTAAATTATTACAAGATTTGTATATTTTGCGGGATATGGTGCAAATTAAAATAGTTCATACACAAAATTAATAGTTACATGTTGACATTTATATAAAATGACTTTTTATAAAAAAAATTTACTTTTAGTTATGAAACAATTTATTTTTATTCATACATGTAATTTGCAAAATTATAATTATTTCACTGGGTTATTGTAAATTTACACCATTTAGTGAGGTTTATTTTTAATTCCTGTCATGAAATGAATTAGTATTATAGAGGGGTACATTTAAACATTTAGCTCTGTTAATAAATTAATACAATGTATTAATTGAAGCACCATAAATTTTTAAGGCATAAAGAAGAATTAAAATATTAAATACTAAATTATTTAATGATGCTAATTCAAGTGACTGTAATAATTAGGAACTGATTTAACCTTTCTAGAAATGTAATAAAGATATATAACTTATTTTTTTAAAATGTACAAAATTTTGCTGGTTAATAAGATTGTTAAATGAAAAAAATATATATCATTAAATCTAGTTCAATTTTTATGACTATTTTATTATCAATGTTGACTATTGTAAGCTTACATGATAAAAGAAAAAAAAATTCTATTTCGGAATATATAATACTTATTTAAGAAATAACATTTTATAATTTACTTTATTTTATTTTAGTATTATTAAATGTGTTTATTAAGGTATTGCGATATTCTTGCCAAAAATCTCATGCAATAATGTCTATTCTAAGTTAATTATTGTAACTGGCTGTTATATTCGTCTAAATAATTATTAAGTCTTTATATTAAATGTTAAAATTAAAAACTATTATGTAATTAGTCCATAGATGAGATAGTGTTGATTGTTTACTACATATTTATTTGTAATTTGTAATATTTTTTAGAAAAATAAGTGAATCGACTATATAACTGGTACCTGTCTCGTTCAAACCGTGTTGTGTTTATATCAATAAAATATTTATTTTCAACTAGACTATTGATTTTTTTCTATTAATATTCTAAAATAAAGCTAAGATCTAATTAGTAAAGTTAGGCATTTTAATTAAATATTAATTTATTTAAAATTTTTAACAATAGGAAGTAAATGTGACTTCAGAGGATTGGGTGTTTTCGAGAGATATACAAATTTTTTAATTCTGAATTGGTGCTCTCAAATCAGTTCATAAAAATTTACACAATATTAGAAACATTTTTTTAACTTTACATTAATGTTAAAAAATTATAATATAAAAGCAAAATTACTACTAGTGATTAAAGAGGATTTCAGTAGCTGAATTTTACAAATACCTATATAAGTTCAAAAAGATGCAAGGACTTAAAATATTTTATTGCTTATAAAATTTCAAAAAATGACATTAACATTTTATTTTCTATGGAAAATATGAATGAATCTTCAGACAGTTACTAAAATAATAAGAATATTAATAATTTTAGAAGAGTTTTTGTTCTCTAAATAATCAAGTAAAAATAATTTATCATTAATTATTAGTGTAAAATTAAAAATTGAAAGTAATGTTAAAATATATTAACTAAAATTTAATTTTAATTTTGATACAGGTGTTAACCAAGCACAAAAGTGCGTGATAAAAACTTTTGAACGATAGAACAATATTAATATATTTTAATCGTGTTAGTCGAACACTTTCTTTTATATTTAGACATTCTATGACCTTAACGTTTGTATTTTGAATTAATTTTGGGGTGTTATATGCCTGAAGTGGTCGCCTCGGTAACGCGCCATTAGAATAGTTTCGACAAAACGCTTGAGGAACGTGATAGCGCCATAAACCATAATAAATTAGTCTTAGTCGATCATGTGCCTTCAGTCAAAAAAATGCCTTGACGTAAACTTATTATACAATTCTTCTGTAATTGGAATTCCAAGGTAAGGAAAAAATTTAAACTAAAAAATTAGCACATGTGTATGAAGCTTCAATAATAAATATCATCTAAATAAACCGAATTTTCAAAAAGATACTTGAAATCTTTCAAAATGTTTGAATTATGATTTTTAAATAGAACCGATACTCTTAAGTTTAGTTCCAAATTTGAATTTTGTCCAACACTTTATTTTATAATTTTAATAAAGTAGGTTTTATTATAATTTAACAATTTCCAATTTGAGAGTTTACTCGCAAAAAAATAAAATACTGGAAAAAATTTTTGAATTTAGTTACATATATTTCTTGATTTGAAAGGGATGTCAATTTTATTTTTTTAAATGGCAACATATATATTTACTAACTGATAACTGTGTCGCGATCTCACAGTGCTACCGTTTTACAATTACTGTTGATAATATTTTTATATTGTAATATTTGTAATGTATTATATCGAATAAAATTAAATATATAAAATAAATGCTTTGTTACTTTAAAGACTAACAAATTTATTCGTTGTGCCAATTAAAAGTTTTATTTAGTAATCATTAATGTATAATTAATTTTTTTATTTCTTTATATTTATTTTGGTATTGTATTGTTAGACTTATTAGTCTAAATAATCTATAAATTGATAGAACTTGGCCCATAATTAATTTATTGAAGTTTGGGAATCAAAAGATTCTATTTTCTCGTTGTAATATTGATGACACTCTAATTTATATTATTCATAGTCTGAAGTTTCAAAATAGTAATTAAATGTAGTGTATGATAATGTATTATTTTATCAAGATTATATTTAAATTTTAGCCTTTACGTCATAGGCGCAAATATAATACATAATTACTACAATAATTATATTGGATATTGAAAGTGTGAAATATGTCATTGGTGTAATATATGTATTTCATTTTAAACATAGTAATATGTTTTGGTTTCAACAATTATAGTTAAAATACCACCATAAAATACCATGGTAGGAAAAAATGCAAGTATATAATGTTACACATAATTGTATATTTATAAATAGCTAAAAAGAAGGTTGAGTATATAGGCGCACTTTCAGTCAAAAATTTAGGAATGCAAAAATTTTAGATATCTAGGTGACTCATACAGGGCAAAGCCCTTATTTCAAGCCAATAATAAGTATTTTAATTATATAACACCATAAAAACTACGTTTTCATTAATTAAGCCATTTATATCGTTATTAATGTATAGATAATAAAAAGATTAGTAAACTTATTTCCTCTATACTTATGGGTAACAAATATTTAATATGGCGCATTAATGAAAAAAATCTTTCACAAGTTGCTCATGAAATTGGCGTGATGGATACTTGAATTAATTAAATTTATTATTAAAGTTGTTGGATAAACATTCGAATTACAAACGTCCCTGACACTTCATTCAAGAAAAAATAATTTTTCAGACAATATTTGAATACTATAATTTTATTCTTAAAACTTTTATGTGAAATCTCTAAGATATCATAAAAAATTATATGTGTTAACTAAACAATAATTGTTATTAATTAAAATTAAAAAAGTAAAGTACAGTAGGGATCAATAAAAATGGAATCGAGACATTTTTTAGATTAGTATAAATGATATTTGACAGTGATTAAAACAGTATTATAAAACGTTTTGATTCTTTGAAAACATTTTTACATATCCACCAAAAATAACATGATTTTCGACTGTAGAAATCAATTTTTCATTGAAAACAAGTCTAGAAAACTTCTTTCAATTTATGATTGTATAATACACAAAAAAACCTTTTATTTGAATCAGTTATGAATGATGTAAACATAGATGTTCCGTTGCTATGCAACACATAAAATCGGTCATTTTTACCCAAAACTGTATGATTTTTGTTTTAGGAGCAATAATGCCTAAATATCGAGATTTCGAATAATTTTTTTCTTCTTAAAGTACATTAAATTAGTATTAATTTAATGTAAATCTAAAAAACAATTTTTTGGAACATTATAAAAAATTTAAAAAGAAAAAAATTATGTGATGATTAAGCTTTAACTCAACCTCTTTTCATTACTTTTATGAATTAGTATAATAATTAGAATAATAATAATAATGCTCAAAATTTGTGGGAGTACTAAGATCCCCCAAATGTGCGCTTAGGTTGGGTACATTTCACTCAGCGAAAAAAATTGTTGTGGTCTTTGGAATTAAAGTAACCCCAAGTTCAAATACTATTTGCGCCTATACTTAACATTATTCAAAATATTTTGTAAATACCGATGTATACCAAGTAAAGAGTATTAGAAAAATAATTTCATTTATACGAGCTAAGTCATTTATCGCTTGGACACAGCATGACCTTGTCACACTAAAGGAATAAATCGATTATGTTTATAAAGTAGTGTAACTTTAAAATATTTGGCCATCTATAACCACTACCATATAACGATCTTAAACAGTCGTAGTTTACTTTTGTCTTGAGGTCGAGGTTAACTATTTTTGACCTAATTACTAATAGCATAATAATATTTGACTAGTCAAAGGTCGATCCGTGAATTACCATATCATTCGCGTGCAAATGTCCAAGTGATTTTATCTTGACTGTTTAAGTACATAATGTTTTATATACCATTAACCTAAATTTTTTCAACTATTTTCCATGGACAATGGGTTCCACGTAAAATTTTTTTAAATATTGCCTTTTGGCCTAATTAAATAGAAACATACATATTTATCTAGCTTACAAAATAGGAAATTCTGTAATTAAGAAAATGACTGATTGATAACAATTTGTGGATTAGTATTTAATATATATTAATATTTTAAAGTATTGACTGAAGGTGAGGCGGAGTACTGCATTTTTTAGACATTTCTTAGCCTCACTCTTCTTCCCGGCTAGACTTTTGAATACTTGTCCAAAAGTTGTAATCGATCAGTCATTTTCTTAAATACATAATTTCCTATTTTATAAAATAATTAACTATATATGTGGTCATTTATTAAAATAAAATTGACACCTCTATAAGACAAAAGAGATGAACACAAAACATTATTATGATAGATAAATGTAGATATCCATGCACATAAACAAAAAAAATTCACAAAAAAATGATTTTAAAAGAAGTTAAAAAAATCACACTGTATATACATTTGTATATATTTTCATGTATACTCTCCTTATTTTTCCTCACTATAATCCTACCTACTTGGGATCGGCCACCCTTAACCTAAACTTCCACTTGACACGATCACCCACATCATCTGCGCTCACATCAGCCGTCTTCTTACCGCATTCAATTATATCCCTCCATCTCTTTTATGGTCTTCCTCTACCTCTTCTTCCTTCAACATTTATTTCTACAACTGTTATTACGGCTTCCGATTCTTCTCTTCTCATAACATGACCAAACTATCTAAGTCTATTTTCTCTCATCTTATCCACGATTGACGCTACTCCTATACTCCCTCTTATATAATAATGTCTTATCCTATCTTCTCTAGTCACTTCATTCATCCATCTAAGCATTCTCATCTCTGCTACACTCATTTTCTGCTCTACTTTCTTATCAACCACCCAACGCTCTGAACCATACATCATAGCTGGTCTCACTACAGTCTTGTAGAATTTACCTTTAATTGGAATTCTTTTATCGCATAAGACACCAGATGTTTCTCTCCACTTCAATCACCCGCATTTAATTCTGTGTCTTACATCCTCGTCAATACCACCGCTCTTTTGCATAATTGATCCTAAATACTTAAAACTTTTCACCTCTCTAATCACGTCCTCGCCTATTGTCACTGGTCTCCTTATTTCACCTACACCTTGTTCTACTTTTTCAAATTCGTACTCAATATACTCTGTCTTACTCCTACTTATTATTAAATCCTTTAAAGGTAAAGGAACGAAATTCCGGTTCACGACAAAAATTTTTTTTGCGTTCCGACTCGTAAAAAAAATACATTAGTATGTAGTATGTATTAAAAAAAAATGTGTTCCGGTTCAAAAAATTTTCCATTTCAAGCACTGGCACCACGGCACTTCTTCTTGTATTCTTTAGTAATTTCATCCATCACTATAGAAAATAAGTAAGGGCTTAAAGCAGAACCTTGATGCCTCCTACTCTTACCCGAAAACCTTCTGTTACTCTTTACCCAAGTATAAGTGCCATCATACATATTTTTTAAATCTACATAAAATTATATATATATATATGTTGGTAAAAGTTTCATAATTGTAGGTTAAACCAAAAATAAGTTATAATCTAAACTTTAGTATTTCTTTTTTTTGACACTCAAACATAACATTAAAAATTAAAACAATCGGTTAAATTTGATAGAACAGTCTCAAATTTTGTAAATATCTTATTAAACATCTTGAAATAATTTTAGGAAAGCTAAAAATTAATGATTTCTTATGACAATTTTACTGTATGATTATCCTTATATTTCTAATTTGTTATTATCTCAAAAACTAGATATAATTAAAAAATTCTGAAACCAGATTCTTTTTATCATCAAAATTCATTCTAGAATTCATATAAAAAAATACCAACACAGTGGAGTCGCAGCACAGTCGAGACATGGCATAGTTGAATTTAGTATAGATTTTATATGACAGTGAATAAAATCACTATCATAAAAAACGCTTCGATGCAAATCTGTAGATAGTGTTTAATTTTAAAAAATTGATGGATTATTTCAAAAGCTATAAGATCTCCTATTTCCTTATTTATATACTGAGTACGAGTTTTATGATTTATAAGTGTAATATATGAATAAATATATATATATATATATATATATATATATATATATATATATATACAGAGTGATTTTTTTATCATAACCCGCTCAATTACTAACAGAGTAATAATAATTTAAACATTTTTTTTTTTTGGTTATCTTTGTTACACATTATCCTTGAATTATTAACTATGTAATTATCTTTAAGTTTATCCCTTATGCCTTGTAAGGAGGTCAAAATTGTTTTTTTAAATGGGAACACATATTTTTAATTTAATAAAATGTTTGGATTTTTAATTCAATAGTAAATAGCTAATTAGATTTTTATGACATTGCTGTCACAGTCACGGAATGTTTATTATCAATTATGACTATCAATAGATAAACTTTCTGTATTGTCAGTTAGTGTATTTATAAACTCACAACAATGTACCTTACTACCATTGATAATAACAATGCTGTGTACCTGCTAATACTGATGTCATAAAAAACCAATAAGCTACCTGTATTTGTAAACCGTAATGTATTATACATGTTTATTAACTCAAAAATTTGAAACTTTAAATATTTATATCTAATAAACGAATAAAGTTATATTAAAAATTCAAATGCCATTTACTATTAAATTAAAAACTCAAACATTTTATTAAATTAAAAATATGTGTTTCCATTTAAAAAACAAATTTGACCCCCTTACAAGGCATAAGGGATGAACTTAAAGATAATTACATAGTTAATAATTCAAGAATAATGTGTAACTAAAGATAACCAAAAAAAAATAATGTTTAAATACATTTATTCTGTAAGTAATTGAGTGGGTGATGATAAAACTATCACCCTATATATAAAAGTGTCAGTATTTCGGAACACTTTTAAAAATTAAGTTGAAAAAGTTCTACTTTCTATATACATTTTTATGCTTTGAACCCCCCCTGTATTAAGAGAAATGTTCCGATTAAAAAAAAAAGTATGTCGAATAAAAGAGGTATATAAATATTATTTCTTCTGTTACTTTTTACTCTAGTATAAGTGCCATCTCATACATATCCTTTATTATATTAATGTACCTTTTCGGGACTCCTTTTCTCATTAATGCCCACTTTAAAACCTCTCTTGGTACTATACCATACGCTTTTTTTCAAATCTATAAATACCATACACAGCTTTTTCTTCTTTTCCCTAAACTTTCCTATTAGTTGCCTCACACAAAATAATGGCTCCATTGTTACTTACCAGGCATAAATTCAAACTGGATTTTAGATAACAATTTTTTTTCTTACTTTTGCAAGTCTATAGACTTCTTTTTTGCCTTCCTTTGTTCCTAGCCTATCATACAACTCATCATACTTCAAATATATAATTTCATGTATACATTGATGTAAAACTAGTATTCTATCTAGATAATGGTAGTTTAAAATTCGAAATTAACCAAATTTTTGAACGTTTTTAAAATAATAGAAATCTTTATTATTAAATAATATTTGAATTTACAGTTTAATAAGACTACAGTATAATACTGGTAAATATTATAGAAGGATAATTTTAAATAAATATCACACACTTTAGGCATTATTATAGATTTTTTATAAAAATTTTTCACTTAACTTTAATAATTCTAGTGAGATTTATTTGATGATTCTTGCAGTTGATGTCACCATTAACGGCTGTGATTGTTTCTATACGAATTAAAAATTACGTGATCTTTATTAATATATTAGATCATACTAATGTACACTTCGTTTGTCCGCGATGCTCTGTTTTAGAAAAACGTCTGTAATCAGGCTAGCTAGTCGATAAGTGGAGAAACACTTTGGAGAGCGCAATGGTTAATTAAAATTTTGATTAAAATATTATTTTGTTAGTACTCAGGGAAGCAAAGAAATGGACATAATGCAATCTAATCATGTATTTTTTATAATATGTAGTGTATGTAATAAAAATAAAAATAAATAAATCAAATACCATGTTTATAGGTTGAAATTATTGTATAATAAAAATATTCAACCGAAGATAAGAAGTATTAGAATTCATACTAGTCCAAGCGACAAAAAAGAAAATTTTATCGGTTAAATTTAATATAAAATTGTAACCAAAAGCGAACTGATTTTTTTTTTTGAAAAAATGTAGCCAGAATAAATGGGTTTAACGATCTTTGGCTTAAGATATTTTTGAATGAATATGATTGTTCAAATGTGATAGGATTTTTTTCATGGGGTTTCATGGAATGCGTATATTACAGAGGGCAGTTGATTTTTGTGTAAGAAAAAGTATTTTAGCTTTGATGCCAAGCTGAAAAGGTATTGGTTTTACTATGATGTGTTTTTTTTGTGTTTGTCACTACTTTTTCTCAGCTCTCACTGAACGGATTTCTTTCAACGATACGTCAAAAGATCAAAAATCGTATCTAGTCGAAGACATTACCCTTAAAAATTAAAAAATATTTCCTCGTTCCCCGTAAACGGGGGAAACCTCTAAATAAATTACAAATTTAAAAATCGCTAATTTTTTCAATTTTTTCAATTTTTTTTACTTAAAACTGCCATAACTTTTTCAAAATTGAACAAATCAATATCATTTTTTTTTAATAGATGCATAATGTTTTTACCTATTATTTGGTATATATTTTTTTTTATAAATCTGACCCTAAATCTGTCCACAGGGAAGGATTCAAAATGACAACTTTTTTAGTATTTATATACGTCTTTCATTTGACATACTTTTTTTTTAAATCGGACCATTTCCCTATGTACGAGGGGGGTTCAAATCTAAAAAATGCATATAGTAAGTAGAACTTTTTGACTTAACTTTTGAAAGTGTTTCGGAAAGTCTGACACTTTTATATATATCTTAAATTAAAGCTAATATAATATACTTTATTATGGAAAAAAGAAATTTCGGACTTTATTTTGTCTTCACGGTGAAAATGGCTACCGAATGCTATTTTTGTGTGAAAATTCTCATGTAAAGATTTGCATCGAAGCGTTTTTTTTGATAGTGATTTTAATCAGTGTCAGATATCATTATACTTGATCCAACTATGTCACGTCACCACTGTGTCGGTTTTTTTTTAATTATTTACCTATCCACGGAGGAACACAGTTTTGGTGGTATATTTTTATTGAGTAAATGAATTAATAATTACATGTATTCAAATTCGTTACTACAACTATATAATTATAATATTATTTAGTGTTACTAAAATTATTTTAAATACTTTAAAAGTATTTATTATTTTTAGTCGAGGCGTTGACTGATTACTAATATGGAAACATTGAGTGCCTCTACTATGGAATTTCGAAAGAAAGTGTATTTTGAAGGGCCTTCATCCGATATATGTAATGAAAATCTTACACCATTAATGACAGCTTGCATGTATGGACGCCAAGAACAAGTTCAACTGATTTTAAAGGATAGAGTAAGGTTTTCAGTTTTATTAAAGTTTATAAATTAAAGAATGAAACTCCGCGATCTTAAAATTATATAAAATTAAAATTCGTAAAAAATACTTTATGTCGATAAAAATTTGTTTTCAAGACTCTTTTTATAACTAAACGTTATACAACTGTTATACTCTAAAGGTTGTTAAAGTTAAAAATAATAAAATTTTTGGAAGAAAAAAAATCAAAATATTTAGACATTTCATATGAATTTATGTTAAAAAAATGGTTTTTTTGCGCTTTTACATAAAGTGGTTTATAATATGATGGTAATCACTATTGAATTTAAATCTTTACTAGTGTTTATAATGCTATGTTTCGATTGTAATGGATTTTCTTTTTAAGGTTCAAAATTACCATTTTATAAGTTTGTATGTTTATAGCCATTATCTGTTTCTGAGCGAGATAGTATGTTCAAGACTGCGTTACATTATTGTGCAGAAAATGACGAAGAAGATGCGGAATGTGCCAGGTTGTTATTAGACACTGATCCATCTATTATTGATATACCAGATGATGATGGACATACTGCTTTGCATTTGGCTGTTATTTCTGGGAATCTACCTTTGGTTAGATTATTATTGAAGTATGCCGATCCTAATAAAAGAGATATTGAAGGTCATTCTACTGTTCATTGGGCCACAGGTAATTTTTACATAATTATACAGGGTGTTCAGTAAGTTAGGAAACAGTTAAATTGTTACAAACAATGAGTACAATAGAAATTCGTTTCCTTATTTACTGAACACCCTGTATACATGGTTGCATGATGTATTAATTACACCTTGGTATATGGGTTATAGAAAAAATACTTTAAACCAGTTTTTGAATAATGTGGGATTGATTTGAATATAAATACTAGGTTGTATAATTTAACATTAAGAGTACTCTAATTTGCTGAATTTTGTATTATTTAACAAATTATGTTGGTTTTTTATAACAGCATGTAAAATATTTTTCAAGTCGTAGTAATTTTTTAAATATAATTTCAAATCTTTGAAGAAAATTTAATGACAATGCCAAATTAAATTGTTCTGGGTAATTTTTAGGGTTAAATTTTTGCAGCAACCTTAAAATTAACCATTTTTATTGTCACTCATCAATTATAGTTATAGCAAAAATAAAGGTCATAATAAAGGCAGATGATGTGGGTGATCCTGTCAAGTGGAAGTTTAGGTTAAGGGTGGCCGATCCCAAGTAGGTAGGATTATAGTGAGGAAAAAGAAGGAGAAGAAGAGTGCATTTTGAGTAACAAATACTGGTTTTTGTAGAGTTTTCCAGTATTTATTTCGAAGTAATTGAGTAATGTTTGATTATTGATTGTCTTGTGTTATTGTAATACATTTTTCTGTATTTATTAAAATTAGATTTGCGAACCTACAATCACTGCATGTTCTAAATTTTTTTTCGGGAAAGAACTGTAGAATATAAAGTTGGCAATTTAAGAAAGTCGAGTTGTAGATTTTACTCTTCGCTTAAAATAATATGGGTATACTAACCTCAGCAAAATTGTTTTGGTCGACATTTTTTGTTATGAGAAGGCGTTATACTTCTCTATTACACTTATAAGTATATTGTACTTAGACTATATTTTAATTATATTGTAAAGACAGTTGCGCAAATTGTATAACATAAGATAGCACTGACATAATTACGGGATGATATATCTCCCTAACACAAAAATAATTACATTATGAATATACCATTTTTTCGCAGAAGTGATAATTTTTCTGATTTATATCAACCTCTCCCTAGGATGAAATTCTAGTTACGAGTCGTAATTATAGTGTCTTAGTAACTTACGACACTATAAGATGTGCATTAACATAGTACTATACTATACTATAATACATAAATTTATTTAGATTCATTTATGTTTTAGTTTTTGTCTATAATGGTCATTAGGTCAGCGATACATATAACATAATATCTATATCATGCATATCTCTTTGAAAATCAATATTATTATTTATGCACATTTTATTGCGTGAAACCAAAAGTTAGGAAGATGTTCGTGTTTTGTTATGCTATAATTATTAGTTTGGGTCACCAATACTCAAGTTTCTATTTATATTAAGTACAACTACATAAAATCAATGGATTGATATTTTTTTATCTTTGAACATATGATAGCTAAGTTTTTAACATGATTTATAATGTCGCATATAATTTAACTATTTGAACTAATGCATATAACAATGTGATCTTGGTTACTTAAAAAGATTACTGTTATTTGCATTTAACCCTTTTAAGTATTTTTGTTTAAAATTCAAAATTTCATATATTACAGAGATGGTTCCAGTAACTTGGTTTTATTGGTATAAATATTTTATATCACTGGAAATCCTGTCTGTGAATCTGCCTTTACTGTTTAATATAATACTTAACAAACACATAGAAATATTTCATTATGATGTTTTAAAGTTAAGGTTTTATATTTTCTATATCTAATTGTACCTTAATTATCATATAAAGCTTTCTTTTTATCACTGGCCTTTCTCGTTCTTGAATATAGATCTGTATCCTGATAATAAATAAGAAATGTTGTACAAGCTATAGTGTCATCCTTAATATTGACTATTCTCATTATTACTGGTGCCATGGTGTCACGTAATTGATATTTTTTAATAAGTGTAAAAAATGTAACAATAAATTAAGGCATTACTTCCGTGGCTGATGACTAATGACTTCACAATTAAATAAACATATGTAACTACGCATTAATTTAAATACTATTTAAATCAATTAGATTTGGTTATTGTGGTCAGTGGGCTCCAAGATTTATTATTAAAACATCTGTCTTCGTATTCATTGTTGTTCTCCGACTTTCATTCTTACGTCAAGAAGTTAGTTTGTTCATTCTTGATGCCATTGCTTTACTTGTTTTTTCTTTAAATTAATTCAAGTACTTGTGTTTCACATCTTGTCTATACCTTGTACTTAGTTACATCTTTCTCTTGGTACGCTTAGTATTTGTGTCCTGCACCTTATATCTTGACGTAACTCTCCTTAACTTCCTATTATAACGGCTCTTTGATACCCTCCCTTATAGATCGGAGTTTCAGCCGAGCATACTATAATTAATTGCTAAAAATAAAATTCTTATCTCGTAATTGTTTTCAATTACTTTAAAGTTAGAAATGATCCCCTCCTTACTCTTTTTTATTTTATTGATAATTTAATATTATGAATATTTATATGATTTCTTATCCTGTATAAGCTTTCATTCATCGATATTCAACATTAAAAGTTAATTATACAGAGTGGCCCACCACTCACTGACAACTTAAATAACTTTTGATCCAGTTAATATTTTTAGCTGATATTTTTTTTAAATAATAGTTATACGCTAGGTCCATAGCTATATCTCAATAATTAATTTTTTTACATTTTATTAAAAATATTATTTATTTTTAAATTTTAAATAAAATGTAAAAAAAAAATCTAAGATAGCTATTTTGTAGAGTAGAATTTAAGAAAAATTTTAGTAAAAAAATATCTTATTAATATTGAGTAGTAAATGTTCTGTAGCGTTTTGAAGTTTGTGTAAATTTGTATTTTCATATATTGTTTTACGGTATTAAACAATAAATACGTATTGAGAAAAAAACAGAAGAAAACGCCATCTTTTCAATATACTTTTGAATGAGAGTGATAAGTAATAATAGCCTTATCTAATTTCTTATCGTGGTATTAATGCCAAGTTTGTAATGTATACACATTATCATCATATGTATACACAGTAATCATGAAAAGATAGCGTTTTCTTCTGTCCTTTTCTCAATACGTATTTCAATGTTTAATAGCGTAAAATAATACATAAAAATTCAAATTTTCACAAACTTCAAAACGCTACAGAATATTTACTACTGAATATTAATAAGATATTTTTTTACTAAAATTTTTCTTAAATTCTACTCTACAAAATAGCTATCTTAGATTTTTTTTTTACATTTTATTTAAAATTTAAAAATAATTAATATTTTTAATAAAATGTAAAAAAAATTAATTATCGAGATATATCTATAGACCTAACGTATAACTATTATTTAAAAAAAAAATCAGCTAAAAATATTAACTGGATCAAAAGTTATTTAAGTTGTCAGTGAGTGGTGGGCCACCCTGTATACTTGAATAAATCTTATTGAAAAATTGGTTATTGAATGTTATTGATGATTATTGGATCAAACGTTATAAGAGATATCCGCTAGATCTGAGACATTCTGTATATTTTAACTTGTTATAAGTGTAGTAGAGAAATTTTAAAGTTCTTAATTCAATAAATCTTTTAATTAAAAAATTAAATAAAAATGTTTGTGTCAATTCAATAGTTTGTGCTGATATCGAAGCATTAGAGTTGGTATTAAGTCATGGAGGCAGTACTGATTTAGCTGATGTTCATGGCGGTTATGCTGTTCATTACGCTGCTCAAATGTGTGGAACTACAGGAGTCTGTCAATCTGGTAATCCTAAGAATGTTGGTGTTAAAGTTTTGCAACTATTGTTGTCATACGGAGCCGACGTTCATGTCGTTGATAAACACGGTCGTCAACCGATATTATGGGCCGCAAGCGCTGGTAAATATATTTGGAATACTATTACTATAATATTTTATGAATAAATAATATCTAGGACGGGTTAGGTTTATAAAAATTCAATAGAAAAAATAACAAGCTATTTTGATTTTAAAACAAACGCTATGAAGTTATTTCAAATTTTAAAATAATAAATGGCTATAAATATATTGAAACAATATAAAAACTGTTTGGATTCGGGTAAGGCATAACACTTTTAAGCTATTAAATTAAAGGTAATTAAGAAAAAATATTAATATTACGTCCGAAAGAGCAAGAGTACAAAAAAAAAATGAATACACAAATAATTATTTAAATAATGTTAAAACACATACCAAAAAATAATTTCTAAGACATGATTATTTAATATAACTCAGGTATTAAACTAAAAAAAAAAAAATTAATATTAGAAATTTTGTTACAATTTATTAACATTCTATTGATGGGTGAAAAATAACTAGTTTTAGCGATGGTGTGATATGTGAAATGAAGAAGATGAACGAGAGTTTTAACTTGGTACATGCAAATTAATTTGCTGTAAAACTTAGAACAATCAATAAGGTGATTAAGTATTTATAAATATAACTTACAAAAATCAATTTTCTACAATTTTTATGAGTATCCAGACTTGATATTTAGGAAAGAGCGCCAAAAACAATATTTTTTATGTTTTTATTATAATTTTTAATTACAAATAATATTTTTGAATTATTATTTATTTTAAATATCATTAAAGAAAAGACTACATAATTATTTTTGAAAAAAAAAAAATCATTGAATATTTATACGATTAGCTATTTAGCTACAATGTTATTTTAGGAAGTGCGGATGCAATCATAACTTTGGTTAACGGTGGTGCAAAAGTCGAAGCACGCGATAAAGATGGTTTAACAGGTAAAAATATCAAAAGTTATTATTGTGAAGTAATATAAGTAAATATTATATTAATAAAAAAATTCTAATGAAACATTTTTTCTTAACATTTATTTAGTACGATATTTGTCATTTCTAGTTACAATTTTATCAATTTTTTGCACTTATATAGCGTTACATTGTGCAGCAAGCCGGGGTCATGTTGATTGTGTGGATTCTTTATTGACTTTGTGTGGAGCTAACGTAGACGTAATTGATAGTAACGGATGTTCACCTTTATTCTATGCAGTAACACTCGGACATGCAGACGCTACTGAAGTGTTATTAGAACACGGTGCTGATCCAAATAGACAAGATGGAAAGGGAAGGACGTAAGAAAGAACTGAATTAAATTTAATGAATAAAATATGGTCAAGTTAAATTTATTATGAATGAAATTATATATATATATATATTTATTTAACTACCCTACGGTACTTTTTATTGAGACGATCGTAAATCTTAATCAATACAATTAAATGGTTATCAAAATTATAAATATACATTTTACTAATTAATATATATATATATTAATACAACATGAATGGGATTTACACTTTCAGTGAAGTGGTCCCTAACTAAGTCTAATAATAATAAATAATATTAAAATTGTAAAATAAATATTTATACATTTAAACTAAGTCATATGGCTTGACGCGTTTTAAACGTCTTAGGTCATTGGAATTGTCCAATAGTTGAATTGCCGTTATATTTTCATGGTTTTCCAACCTTATTATATGCTTACGTACAAACCGAGTGACTTCATCTGCTACGGTTGGTAACATCATATCTCGATGAATTACATAATTTCTATCGAATCTGTGAGCCGCGACGATTGTACGAATCGCGATATTTTGACAACGTTGTATAACATCTATGTTGGACTTACTGGCACAACCCCACAATTGAGTCTAGACAGGTTTTATGATCGCTACGTTTAACAGACGTTTGTTCTCTAGTGATAGCTCAAAATTTTTTCCAACTAACCAATAGAGTCCGCGCATTTTATCCTTTATCTGCAAAAAAATATTAAAGAATAAATTGAAATAGTTAGTGTAAGTGAAATTAGCTTAAAACATGTATATGGAAAAAGAGGAATACCGAATATGATTTGGATTGAGGTGTTTTTATGAGAATAGCTGAAATTTGTGATGAGGATGCTGAAGACTGAATATAATGGACTAAGAGGCTGACCCAAAAAAGTTAATGAAGAAAAAAAGAGGAAGGCTACAGTGATTTTTATTACTATTGATTTTATAGATATGATTTTTTTATCTATAATAATAAAGATTGTATAAAGATGTATTTAAATAATTCGCTAGAAAACATTGCTTTTAATTGTATATTCATGTTTTAACCTTGATAATGTTTTTTAAGGCCTCCACATTGCGGTTCTTTTAAAGGTCAATTAGAAACGGTTAGGTTATTACTCGATCATGGCGCAAACTTATGGCTCCGAAATTCTAAAGGTGGTTNATTCATGTTTTAACCTTGATAATGTTTTTTAAGGCCTCCACATTGCGGTTCTTTTAAAGGTCAATTAGAAACGGTTAGGTTATTACTCGATCATGGCGCAAACTTATGGCTCCGAAATTCTAAAGGTGGTTATCCTTTACACGACGCAGTGAGATCAGGTCGTAAAGAGCTAGTAACTTGGCTTTTATCATTACGTCCAGATTCAGCTAACTACTATGACGATGACGGAAAAAGACCTTTGCATATTGCTGTACTTAATAACAACATTGAAATGTGTAAGGTAAACAGAAAAATTTACATCAGTTATTTTTTCTTGTTTATGTTAGAAAAAAAAATTCAATAATCGTCAATAAACAAAGGGAGGTAATAGAAATGTTAAAAAACATGAATAATTAAATTAATTGGGACTGCAAAATACGTTATTAAACTTGTGTAAACTGTCAAAAATGTTAAATCGGCTAAGTGATAACATCACTAGACGACTAGATCATTAGGGGTATTAAGGGAGTATTTTTCAGTGGGGATGTCAGTATGTGCTTAGCATTATGATTAATTCTTACTATGTAAAGTTAACTTGTTAAAAGAAACTTTGGCTGATTTAACATCATTTAAAGAATTTTTATTCTTTCGGCTCTAAAGTCGTTATATTTTTAAGGAAAAAAATTTATTATATGTATAATTCGTAATTTTTACATTAGATTATACTTGATAATGGTGCATCAGTAAATGCTATCATGAAACTGAAAGGTGAAAAAATGACACCTCTTGATGTAGCTTTACGAAAAAACAACGAAAACCTAGCAAAGTTTTTGAAATTGTATGGTGGAAAACCTGTTTCAAAATTGAATAAAACCTTATTTAAAGAACAACCTACTTTAGGGTCAAGGACAAAAAGGTTTGTAATTTAAGTTTAATAAGAATTTGCTACTGTTAATTTGTATTAATTTAAATTAAAATATATTTTTGTTTTATAAAAGTTAATTTGTTTTTTATCAAAATCATTTTGTAATAAATTTGCATAAAACTAACAAATACTAAATGAAAAGTTTTAATTTTAATTTTCATTATAATATTGTTTGATTTTATAGATTTGACACTCGAAGAAATTCACATTCATCTGAATCCATTAATAGGATTCATCGCACAGGTAGCGATAGGAAGAAAAAATCAATTCAAAGAAAAGGGGATAATTATAAAACTAAAAAAGAATTGAAAAGTCGAATGGTTCAAGTATGTAACCATTTTTCAATTTTCAATTACTAAAAAATTGCAAAATTAAACCTGACAGAATGTTTTTGGTGTAATTGATACTACAAACTAGAACTGAGCAAAAAATCCGAATTAATTTTTATTTGGATTATAGCGAAATCAAATAATCCAGACCACGAATTGAATCCGTTAATTTGCAAAATATTCATTTTTTAATACAATATATACAGAGTGATTTTTTTATCATAACCCACTCAATTACTAACAGAGTAATAATAATTTAAACATTTTTTTTTTTTATTATCTTTAGTTACACATTATTCTTGAATTTTTAACTATGTAATACTTTTTAAGTTCATCCCTTATGCCTTGGAGGGGGGTCAACTTTGTTTTTTTAAATGGTAACACATATTTTTAATTTAATAAAATGTTTGAGTTTTTAATTTAATAGTAAATGGC